TCGTCAGTCCGGCACGGCCCGTGCCTGTTCCACTGGTGCCTGGTCCGGCACCGGTCAGATGCGTTACGCCGGAGCTAGAGCAATCCGCTCCATCAGTGTGCAGTCCAGCTCCGGCCAGCGGGGCCAGACCGGACCAGGGGTACTTTGGGGGGTTGGAGAGGGAGTGGGGATCAGGCCCGGAGCCGGATCCGCCGCCTAGGCGGAGTGCCCACCCGGTCCCTCCCCTGTGGTATTTAGTTGGCGCGGTCAGAGTCCGCGCCTTTAGGGGGGGGGTACTGTCACGCCCTGGCTCTGGGGACACTGTTATGTTGAGCCAGGGTGTGTAGATCTATGTATTCTATTTCATGTTGGGAGTTCTAGTTTGTTTATTTCTATGTTGGCCAGAGTGACTCCCAATCAGAGGCAACGAGTGTCAGCTGGTGCTGGTTGTCTCTGATTGGGAGCCATATTTAAACAGTCTGTTTTTCATTCGTGTTTGTGGGATTTTGTTTCTAGTCTGTTTATGGTAGACCGTGAACTGTCACGTATCGTTTGTTGTTTTGGTCATTTGACGCTAAATAAAGAGTATGTTTGCCTGCAACGCTGCGCCTTGGTCCTCATCTGTTCCTGACGATCGTGACAAAGAGGAAGGATGTTAAGTGCCACATGCCTTTTCAATGCATGACTTTGAACACCTTGAAATGCATTTGTTGTAATAAATGTGCTATATAAATAAGGTTTGATTTGATTGATGACGTTACATCTGTAGAATATTTAATAAACTGTAATGTTCACATGAGGACAAGTGCAGTTTTTCCATAAAGTTTTAATTGATTACTTGGGATTTTATCACTTGACATATCAATCATACAAGTGGGAAGAATCCTATAAATCAAGACTGTGTGAATGCATGTACCACTCTGAAAAAATAAACACTGTGCCTTTGAAGATTTTCTCTGATCATGCAACTACAATACAATACAGGCTGGATGTCTAAACGAAGTCAATTCATGTTGGGAGTTCTAGTTTGTTTATTTCTATGTTGGCCAGAGTGACTCCCAATCAGAGGCAACGAGTGTCAGCTGGTGCTGGTTGTCTCTGATTGGGAGCCATATTTAAACGTATCCGGGGTAATCTGGTTAATTATTATATAATCGATTAAGTGTCTCTCGATTTAGTGATTGATGCACGTCGGATGAATCGTGTGGTGAATAGTGAAAAAGTGAAGAGTATCTGTTATTTCGTTTTTTTGATGTGGAGTCTCTCCCTACTCAAGTGCAGTTGGGGTATATTAACTACAGAGTCAGAGCATTTATCCCGAGACCAATGCAGTGTGATCACTGTAAAGCTTTTGGTCATGTAGCAAGTGTTTGCAGAAGGGAGAAGCCGAGATGTCCAAGTTGTGGAAAATATCATTTCATGTGTTATAAAAGGGATGAAAACATGACATGTTGTAATTGTGGTGGGAACCATGAAGGTCGTCACGCTGGATGGTGATGGAGGCTTTGGTGGGCCACACAATGAAGAAGCAAGTGTCCCATCCATTTACATTTACGTCATTTAGCAGACGCTCTTATCCAGAGCGACTTACAGGAGCAATTAGGGTTAAGTGCCTTGCTTAAGGGCACATCAACAGAATTTTCACCTATTCGGCTCGGGGATTAGAACCAGCGACCTTTCGTTTACTGGCACAACGCTCTTACCCACTGAGCCACCTGCCGCCCATCCAGTGAGGATGGTCTTCATAGAGGTGGTAGAACCCTCCCTCCTCCTGGATATAGAAATCCTTCGACTTCACTGCCTCTTCGATGGTAAGGTCCCTTGCACCATATGGAAACTTGACCTCCACCACTGCTGTGGTGCTCACCATGCCATCCGGTGAGGCGCCCAGGATCCCAGACCGTGTGACTCCAAAGCCCTGACTCCTGCACAGCCATCCCTGTAGCCATTTTGAATTCCTTGATGACCTCCTCTTCATCTGTGGCCCACTTTACAGACAACACCCCATCCAACGACTGTGATCTGAGGACCCTTTTTTAGCAGCGACGGAGTAACGCGCTTGGCCCTAACCACTGCTCCAAAATTGCATCAACCTCCCTCTCCTCGTGTTGTGCCAGTTGGGGTTGGTGTGCTGTCCAACTGTTGCCTGCCGTATAGCCTCCTGCTTCTCCACCGACAGCGCCATGCTGCCCTTATTTTTGAACAATGTCCGGTACAGACAGGGATAACAGGGAGAGTAGCGGTTGTTCTCGCTCAGGTTTAAGGAGCCATTCCATTCCACTGAACCTGCCCCAGAGACAGTTCCTTAGCCACTGAAGATCCTCCTCTGTGGGCTCTCGGGACAGAGGGTTGTAGTCTTCGGCTGGGTAGAGGTCCTCCTCTGTGGGCTCTCTGGACAGAGGGTTGTAGTCTTCGGCCGGGTAGAGGTCCTCCTCTGTGGGCTCTCGGGACAGAGGGTTGTAGTCTTCGGCCGGGTACAGGTCCTCCACTGACTACACCTGGTTGGCCACGGCTGGCTTCCTCCACTCTCATTCCACATCCGTACGGCCGATATTGTGAACCGCCAAAATAGGCTGCATGGCTACACTGATGAGCTCCATGGAGGCATTCACATGGTAGAGAGAATCCCCTGGTCACCTATAGAGATCTGCCAAGAGGAAGGATGTTAAGTGCCACATGCCTTTCAATGCGTGACTTTGAACACCTTGAAATGCATTTGTTGTAATAAATGTGCTATATAAATAAGGTTTGATTTGATTGATGACGTTACATCTGTAGAATATTTAATAAACTGTAATGTTCACATGAGGACAAGTGCAGTTTTTCCATAAAGTTTTAATTGATTACTTGGGATTTTTATCACTTGACATATCAATCATACAAGTGGGAAGAATCCTATAAATCAAGACTGTGTGAATGCATGTCCCACTCTGAAAAAATAAACACTGTGCCTTTGAAGATTTTCTCTGATCATGAAACTACAATACAGGCTGAATGTCTAAACTAAGTCTTATTCTGAACGTCAATAGATTTTTTTGATTCATTCTCATCAATGACAACATTCTAGAACGGCGTTATCACTCATCGAAGTCTGGTATCCGGGGTAATCTGGTTAATTATTATATAATCGATTAAGTGTCTCTCGATTTAGTGATTGATGCACGTCGGATGAATCGTGTGGTGAATAGTGAAAAAGTGAAGAGTATCTGTTATTTCGTTTTTTTGATGTGGAGTCTCTCCCTACTCAAGTGCAGTTGGGGTATATTAACTACAGAGTCAGAGCATTTATCCCGAGACCAATGCAGTGTGATCACTGTAAAGCTTTTGGTCATGTAGCAAGTGTTTGCAGAAGGGAGAAGCCGAGATGTCCAAGTTGTGGAAAATATAATTTCATGTGTTATAAAAGTGATGAAAACATGACATGTTGTAATTGTGGTGGGAACCATGAAGCTACGTCTTTTGAATGCCCCACAAGGGTGAAAGAGAATGAGGTGGCCAAAGTCAGGGCTGTCCAGAGCATATCATATGCTGCAGCTGTTAAAAGGGTTGAGGGTTTGAATGGTGCTCCCGAAGAGTCCATTGTGGTGGATAGGACTTCACTGCAGGCAGCAGGGGTTGCCTTTCACCAGCATGATCCTGACATTTTAAAGGTTAAGAAGGTGGTCTTTATAGCTATGGTGATTAATGGCACTGCCAAGGTGGAGGGAAGGTCCAGGAAGATAGAAATCATTGTGGCGGAGCGGTTCCTGGGACTGAAAGATTTCTGGTCAGAGGAGTGACATGGAATATTGTCACAAGCCGTCCCACCCCCTAAGGCCCTAGAGCCTGAGAAGGGGGATATCGAGATTTGAAAGAAGGAAGAAGTGGGAGTTTAGTTTAATTTAGTCAATTTACTATTTTTATTTGGGTGGATGACGTTAGTTTCCCGATCAGGTATGGGTTAGATTTTTGTCCTTTTTATTTTTTACCCGTCCAGTTGGTGGCGGCAATACATATTTTTGGGTTGTAGTCCGTCATAAAACCCATAGAAGAAGAAGAAGAACTAGAAGAACTATTGCCGTGTTCAAAACAACTGGGAACTCGGAAATAATCTCCAACTGGGAAAATTCAATTTGAACGTCATTCAACTTGCAATTCCAACTCGGGCCTCTTTATGGAACTTCGACTTTCCTACCTGAAGTTCACTAACGCCTTTATTTGACCTCGTATTTTTCCAAGTTCCCAGTTGTTCTGAACGCGGCATATAGACTCTCCCGTCCTAATGAGCCCTTCCCAACTAGCTTGTGGCTAGAAACTTGTCTGTCGATTAAGTGTTCAGAATCATTCCGTTTTTATCTGAGTAATTGTTCAGGGTTTTTTCACTCCACGATTTTCGTCTGCAGTCGGTTGCTTCAGCCGTACTACTCAAACAAGCCCAGAATCACGCTTATCACTTTCTCTTACAAGTTTTAATAACTTGCGCCATGCTACTGTTGTTGCCAGCATAAACTAGCTTGTAAGGGCTCTCAGGACGACTGAACCGACTCCATTCGTCTTCATTCTCAGCTGCCCGACCCATTTGGGCACGGTAAAGCCAGCCTCTAACGGATCTCCAGTTTCTACTAGATAGCACAGCCACAAAGTCATTATAAGCTAAATCGTAAAAATTCATGATTTGTTGTTGTTGTTGCTTTTGGTTCTTAATTTAAGGTTAAGCATAAGGTTAGCAGTGTGGTTAAGGTTATCTTTAAAAACACATTTGAAGAAGATACATTGTAGAAATTGGCGGGGTTTATGACTTTGTGGCCGTGGTAACTAGTCACGCAGAGCATGCTGGGTAAATCATTTGTAACTGGTGGGTTCCGTTCACATACAGAACCTCAAGTGGTGGATTCTCAGTCTTGTGGAATATACCCAAATTAGTCTTCCATTTTTTATTTCATGGAAATAATTTCAAATCTGACTACTGATTGAATCCTACTTGTTGTGACAAAGTCCCACTAGAATTTATTAATTTATTTTTATTTCACCTTTATTTAACCAGGTAGGCCAGTTGAGAACAATAATGGATGGATCTTTATTGGCAAATGGATAGAATAGTCCGTAAACAACTTAAAACAATTGTATTAAGGAATGAATTAACTTAAACAAATAAAATAAAGCTTTATCAGCTTTAATGAGTCGAGTGGTAGCCCACTGAAGTACAATTACATGATCATCTCAGAAGACTATGCAACAGGGTTAGAAACACTATTAAAAAGACTACATTGCCTTTGCACTAATATATACACATGATATCAACTTTTTACACCCACGGCTCTTGTAGTTGTCATTTTTAAATTAATAATTATACAAGATTCGTTGGATTCCATGATTTTAAAGCGAGATGGCAAATAAGTTCCTCATGATGATATAAAAAAAACATAACATGCAGAAAACACTGCATTAATTGCATTTTCAGTCAATTGTCCAATAAACGTGATCAATAAACATGACAGTCCTGAGGTAAAACCAACCCCTCTTACAGTTAGTATACAGTAAAGATGTAACGTGCCCCTGTGAGGGCTTAAGTACACCCTGGAGTACGGCACACCCCAGGCGGGTGTCAATCTACAGGGTTGACAGTGACCTCCTCCTCCTTGACCTCCTCCTCCTTGACCTCCTCTGGACTGGTCACGGCTGAGGAATAGAACACAGCAACAGGAAGAGAAAAACAAGTCAGACTCTCGTTTACCCAGTCATCATGGATACCTACTCCTGACTCTCAGCCTGTGATCTGTCGTCTGCCCAGTCATCATGGATACCTACTCCTGACTCTCTGCCTGTGATCTGTCGTCTGCCCAGTCATCATGGATACCTACTCCTGACTCTCAGCCTGTGATCTGTCGTTTACCCAGTCATCATGGCTCCCTACTCCCGAGACTCTCTGCATCCCAAACTGAATCCTATTTTCTATATTGTGCAATACTTTTGATCAGGGCTCTCATCAATAGTAGTGCACTATATACGGAATAGGGTGCCATTTGGGATGCAGACAGACACACCACAGGAAGTCTACAGCAGCAATATCTCAGGTCAACTCCTGACTGTCTCACCAATAGTAGCAGGGGAAACTATCTGGACAGGGATGGTCTGTCCGTCCTCCAACAGTATCTGGTGTGTCCCCACACTCCCGTCCCCTAGAGATGACACGCTGACCACCTGTCCGTCCCCTAACGATGACACGCTGACCACCTGGCCGTCCCCTAACGATGACACCACGACCACCTGACCCATGCCCAGAACCACTGAGGGGTCAGCCAGGGCCATAGCTTCCCCCTGGGAAGGGCTGGACTGGAGGAACTGAGGGGGTGAGGTGCTGGGCAGCTCCAGGGAGTCTGTGACTTTAGACAACTGAGACAGACCTCCATCGAAAGAACACAGGCCTGGTTGGCGCTGGATGCCCTGGAAATAAAACAGACAGTTTGTTTGCTGAGTGACTAAGAAACACAGACATATCATTCTGTCCGATTCGATTAAAAATTGGATAGGGATTAATCAGGTGTGTAAGACACATGCAGAACGTCACCTGTAGCTGGGCAAAGATCTTGGGCTGCAGGGACGTCAGAGAGCTGAAGAGTTGTACGGCCTCAGGCGATAACGTGTCGCTCCCCTCCAACACTGCTACTCTCTGGAGGGCACCTGGACGGAATAAACACCGTAAGAAACCGAGCTAGTCGGATAACTATTGGGACTCGAAGCGACATGCAACGTCACTACCTTTAGCAGGGGCTGGTGTGAGGGTCAGAGTCACAGTCTCAGTCATTGGGTCCACTTCAGTCCACTGAGGTGAGGCAGCGAACATCAGGCGTGACAAATGGAGAACAACAAGTTTTAGCTGAAAGAGCTGGGAAAAACAGATAAGAAGCAGGGTGACCCCAGCCTGCTGGAAGGTCTTCCTAGTTACCTGTGTTAAAATCAGTGGTGACCCCAGCCTGCTGCAAGGTCTTCCTAGTTACCTGTGTTAAAATCAGTGGTGACCCCAGCCTGCTGGAAGGTCTTCCTAGTTACCTGTGTTAAAATCAGTGGTGACCCCAGCCTGCTGGAAGGTCTTCCTAGTTACCTGTGTTAAAATCAGTGATGACCCCAGCCTGCTGGAAGGTCTTCCTAGTTACCTGTGTTAAAATCAGTGGTGACCCCAGCCTGCTGGAAGGTCTTCCTAGTTACCTGTGTTACGTCAGTGATGACCCCAGCCTGCTGCAAGGTCTTCTGGGCCTCATGGATGTGGTTCTTTATGTCATTGACGGTGGGGAAGTAGCAGAGGTTATGTCTCTCTGGGACCTCCTCTGATTTAAACATCTCCCGCTCCACAAACCGCCTGGCAGGATAGGAAACAGGAAGACAGGTTAGCGCCAGGGATAGTGGTAATACTGGGGACCATGACGACCTGTGCATCCAGTGTGATCCTGGGCTGTATGCGTCATGTGTCTCTCAGAGTGAATCTTATTGGCTGTCATCTTTGGCTGCGTTTACACAGGCAGCCCAATTAGTGGCAAAATATCAGAAGTGGGCTGCCTGTGTAAACGCAGCCTAAAATGCAAAACTAATCCTAAATCAGCTCCTACTCTGAGCTGTTTGATACATACGGCCCCCTGAGGTCCTCCTTACCTGAGCTGTTTGCGGACCTGGTACACCTGATGATATCCCTGATCCACCAACTCCCTGATTTTCTCTGCCACCCTGGGGTGGAGGCGAGATGGCATGGTTCCACCATCCTCCACACCTCCATCACAGACACATCCCCTCTCCTCCTCCTCCTCCTCCTCCACCTCCTCCTCCATGGGGAGGAAGAGGAGGTCTGGAGGAGGAGGTGGGAGGAGAGCCTCCATGTCATGGTAGAGGTGAGCTTTCTGGGTGGGAAGCTGCATGTAGTACCTGGTAAACCAGAGAAAGAACAAAGGAACAGATGTAGCTACACATATCAGTCAACTAGAAGGTTTACTTATTTAAACATTCAGAGTCTTATTAGCCCATATGGGCTGGGCATCTGCAAGACGCTTTAATAATATATAAATATATCAAATCACGTACAAATAGCAGAATCAATCAATCAATCAATCAATACCTCAGGACTCCGCCCACGTCCCACAGGGTCTTCCGGAGGTTGAAAAAGGCCTTCTCCTGCTCTTGCCGAACAACCCTCTTGTCTACGTTCGGGTCCGTCGGCACCCGGTACTGCGGAAACTTACACACCTTCTTGATATAGATCCTGAAAGAATGAGAGCAATGTCAGAAATACTACCTTTACACACAGCTCTTATGGCATGTCCACAGAGTTGGTAGCATTTTGTTTGTCAGCGTAGATGTGGATGGGGTTTGAGTGTGTGTGTGTGTGATTGTGTACCTGGCAGGACATGTGGCTTTGTAATCAACGTTCTGACTGATGGTCTGCTCTGCAGTCTTCTTGGGCTGGAGGCCTTTCCTCCTTGGGCCATACTGACACTCCATCACTACAGCTCTACTGCCTGGAGACAGATGGAGAAAGGAGACGTGGGTCGCGTCCCAAACAGCAACCCATTCCCTATTTAGTGCACATCTTTTGACCAGGGTCCACAGTGCTAGTACGGCACCCCATTCCCTATTTAGTGCACATCTTTTGACCAGGGTCCACAGTGCTAGTACAGCAACCCATTCCCTATTTAGTGCACATCTTTTGACCAGGGTCCACAGTGCTAGTACGGCACCCCATTCCCTATTTAGTGCACATCTTTTGACCAGGGTCCACAGTGCTAGTACGGCACCCCATTCCCTATTTAGTGCACATCTTTTGACCAGGGTCCACAGTGCTAGTACGGCACCCCATTCCCTATTTAGTGCACATCTTTTGACCAGGGTCCACAGTGCTAGTACGGCACCCCATTCCCTATTTAGTGCACATCTTTTGACCAGGGTCCACAGTGCTAGTACGGCACCCCATTCCCTATTTAGTGCACATCTTTTGACCAGGGTCCACAGTGCTAGTACGGCACCCCATTCCCTATTTAGTGCACATCTTTTGACCAGGGTCCACAGTGCTAGTACGGCACCCCATTCCCTATTTAGTGCACATCTTTTGACCAGGGTCCACAGTGCTAGTACGGCACCCCATTCCCTATTTAGTGCACATCTTTTGACCAGGGTCCACAGTGCTAGTACGGCACCCCCATTCCCTATTTAGTGCACATCTTTTGACCAGGGTCCACAGTGCTAGTACGGCACCCCATTCCCTATTTAGTGCACATCTTTTGACCAGGGTCCACAGTGCTAGTACGGCACCCCATTCCCTATTTAGTGCACATCTTTTGACCAGGGTCCACAGTGCTAGTACGGCACCCCATTCCCTATTTAGTGCACATCTTTTGACCAGGGTCCACAGTGCTAGTACACGGTATTATAAACGTATGCACTCACTGACTGTAAGTCGCTCTGGAGAAGGGCGTCTGCTAAAATGAGTCAAATGTAAATGTAAATAACGCAGAATATGACCTAGGAAACCATACCTTTCATTCATATGGACACAGTTATTACATTGGAGTAGAATACTTTGGTAACACTTTCCTTAAAGCCTGCAGGTATAATGTTATAAGCATGTATGAGTTGGACTGTTGAGGCCACACGGGGGCAGTCATGAGTCATGACCGCAGTAAACATCTGGATGACCGTTGAGTCACGGTAATCTCCTCTGATGCCCTCTGTACATTGCCTTTGTAGTAGCCTACACAACTCACCATCATTAGTAGACTGACACATGACCTTTAGCGTCAGAATATCTCACCACCGTGAGATTCCATCTCCTCCCTTCTCTCCTTCATTCCTTTCTCCAGCGCGCAGAGAGAGAGGGGCTGTCAACAGTTTAATGAAATATGTTTCGTTGTGAAAACATGTTGCTATCGATGTTCACAAACAGATTTCACTTGGTTTCCCAAATTAAGTACTGGGTAGCTGGAGGAACAGGGTTGGAGAGCCCATGGCGTACAGAGTACTGGGTAGCTAGAGGAACAGGGTTGGAGAGCCCATGGCATACAGAGTACTGGGTAGCTGGAGGGACAGGGTTGGAGAGCCCATGGCGTACAGAGTACTGGGTAGCTGGAGGAACAGGGTTGGAGAGCCCATGGCGTACAGAGTACTGGGTAGCTGGAGGAACAGGGTTGGAGAGCCCATGGCATACAGAGTAATGGGTAGCTGGAGGAACAGGGTTGGAGAGCCCATGGCATACAGAGTACTGGGTAGATACAGGAACAGGGTTGGAGAGCCCATGGCATACAGAGTACTGGGTAGCTACAGGAACAGGGTTGGAGAGCCCATGGCATACAGAGTACTGGGTAGCTGGAGGAACAGGGTTGGAGAGCCCATAGCATACAGAGTACTGGGTAGCTGCAGGAACAGGGTTGGAGAGCCCATGGCATACAGAGTACTGGGTAGCTGGAGGAACAGGGTTGGAGAGCCCATGGCATACAGAGTACTGGGTAGCTGGAGGAACAGGGTTGGAGAGCCCATGGCATACAGAGTACTGGGTAGATACAGGAACAGGGTTGGAGAGCCCATGGCATACAGAGTACTGGGTAGCTGGAGGAACAGGGTTGGAGAGCCCATGGCATACAGAGTACTGGGTAGCTGGAGGAACAGGGTTGGAGAGCCCATGGCATACAGAGTACTGGGTAGCTGGAGGAACAGGGTTGGAGAGCCCATGGCATACAGAGTACTGGGTAGCTGGAGGGACAGGGTTGGAGAGCCCATGGCGTACAGAGTACTGGGTAGCTGGAGGAACAGGGTTGGAGAGCCCATGGCGTACAGAGTACTGGGTAGCTGGAGGAACAGGGTTGGAGAGCCCATGGCATACAGAGTACTGGGTAGCTGGAGGAACAGGGTTGGAGAGCCCATGGCATACAGAGATGGCATACAGAGTACTGGGTAGCTGGAGGAACAGGGTTGGAGAGCCCATGGCATACAGAGTACTGGGTAGCTGGAGGAACAGGGTTGGAGAGCCCATGGCATACAGAGTACTGGGTAGCTGGAGGAACAGGGTTGGAGAGCCCATGGCATACAGAGTACTGGGTAGCTGGGGGAACAGGGTTGGAGAGCCCATGGCATACAGAGTACTGGGTAGCTACAGGAACAGGGTTGGAGAGCCCATGGCATACAGAGTACTGGGTAGCTGGAGGAACAGGGTTGGAGAGCCCATAGCATAAAGAGTACTGGGTAGCTGCAGGAACAGGGTTGGAGAGCCCATGGCATACAGAGTACTGGGTAGCTGGAGGAACAGGGTTGGAGAGCCCATGGCATACAGAGTACTGGGTAGATACAGGAACAGGGTTGGAGAGCCCATGGCATACAGAGTACTGGGTAGCTGGAGGAACAGGGTTGGAGAGCCCATGGCATACAGAGTACTGGGTAGCTGGAGGAACAGGGTTGGAGAGCCCATGGTATACAGAGTACTGGGTAGCTGGAGGAACAGGGTTGGAGAGCCCATGGCATACAGAGTACTGGGTAGCTGCAGGAACAGGGTTGGAGAGCCCATGGCATACAGAGTACTGGGTAGCTGGAGGAACAGGGTTGGAGAGCCCATGGCATACAGAGTACTGGGTAGCTGGAGGAACAGGGTTGGAGAGCCCATGGCATACAGAGTACTGGGTAGCTGGAGGTACAGGGTTGGAGAGCCCATGGCATACAGAGTACTGGGTAGCTGGAGGAACAGGGTTGGAGAGCCCATGGCATACAGAGTACTGGGTAGCTGGAGGAACAGGGTTGGAGAGCCCATGGTATACAGAGTACTGGGTAGCTGGAGGAACAGGGTTGGAGAGCCCATGGCATACAGAGTACTGGGTAGCTGCAGGAACAGGGTTGGAGAGCCCATGGCATACAGAGTACTGGGTAGCTGGAGGAACAGGGTTGGAGAGCCCATGGCATACAGAGCTTTGGGCGGAATATCACCTGTGGCACAGCGAACTGACCAGAGTAGCCTACCCAACATGAGTCAAAAACATACCGGCGGGAAAGTGGCCTCCATTCGCTTCTCCAGTACATATGGATGACATGTCTGTTTTCCCCTGCCCCTGTTCCTGCCCATTGGATAATGGGCCATTCTAAATCTAAACTAATTTTACATATTAGTAAAGACAAGATTAAATTGACAATAGTCTGATGGGTGAAAATATGATCACTTGATGAGAGAACAAGCTGTGCAGCCTGAGGCAAGGAACAGAGCACAAGCTTTTTCCCCCCGCCTTTCTCAAATCATCAATAGCCTGTCGTCGCATCATACAGCCCAAATATCTTTTGATTTCTAGCACATTCTAAGGTTTGTAGCAACTAAAGTTGCCAAATAACTCTAAATCTAGCATGTAGGACCTGTTTTAAATGATCACTTTTACGCTCAATATAGCCACTTCATATGCGCGCATTCTCGCACCAGAATAGGAAAAATATGGTTTCTATTTTATTCAGATAAGTTGAATTATATTGTTCTTACTATAAAATCATATAATATAAAATAGTGGCTTGGGACTTACAAGCATATCTTGTCTGCTAAATGAACAAGCCTACCGCCTATGGCATGGAGCACAGCCAGATAACATACAGTAGGCCAACTCATATTCTGTTCTTCTGAAATACATCTTCATATCATAATGTCTCTTTAGACCTGACTAAAATAAATATTGGATTTGTTGTTATGATGTATATTAAATTGATATATTATATATTTTTAATGTAGATGTTCCAAAGGCAGCGGCTTGTATGCAGCTTGTATGCAGCTTGTATGCAGCTTGTATGCAGCTTGAATGCAGCTTGAATGCAGCTTGAATGCAGCTTGTATGCAGCTTGTACGCAGCTTGTATGCATCTTGTATGCAGCTTGAATGCAGCTTGTACGCAGCTTGTACGCAGCTTGTATGCAGCTTGTATGCATCTTGTATGCAGCTTGTATGCGTTGAGGCCTGGTGATGCTAAACATGTTTATGTTAATTAACGGTCAATTACCGTGAGACCGGCAGGCTTTTGCATGACAATAACCAGCAAAATGTCAAGACGCCCTGTGAGCCTTTACAATGTGTCTAAAGTGTTATCATGTCTCTTAACAACTGTTACTGTGATTGTATACCTGCCTTGACAAAAGGGACGCCATCGTAGGGTACTAACCAGTACTGTGACTGTATACCTGCATTGACAAAAGGGATGCCATCGTAGGGTACGTATTGTGACTTCCACATCAGACGGCTGGCAGGCTTGGCAGGGGAGGGGGACTGGCGCGTCCCAAACACACTGTTGGTCTGCTGCTTGTGGAGCAGGAGGATGGCCTCAAGCTCCGTGTCTGTGTTACAGTAGCCACGGTACGAGTCCCCGATCTTCTGCTCCGGGAGAGAGAGAGAGAGAGAGAAGGAGAGAGGAGGAGAGAAGAGGTAGAGAGAGAGAGAGAGAGAGAGAGAGAGAGAGAGAGAGAGAGGAGAGAGAGAGAGAGAGATAAGAGATAGAGTAGGTTTGGACTCGTATCTCCGTTTATGTAGGTCTTTTTGTGGGGTCTTCTATTGAGTTTTTGTCTCTCTTCTCTTTGTTCGTTTTCTTCTTCTCTCTTTTTCTCTCTCTCTTTGTTTTTTTTCTTCTCTCTCTCTCTCTCTCTCTCTCTCTCTTTCTTTCTTCTCTCTCTCTCTTTTTTTTCTCTCCCTCTCTCCTCTCTCCTTCTTTGTTCTTCTCTCTCTCTCTCTCTTTCTTTCTTCTTCTCTCTCTCTGTCTTCCTTTCTTTTTTTTTTTCTCTCTCCTTCTTTCTTTTTTCTTTCTCTCTTTCTTTCTTTTTCTTCTCTCTCTCTTTCTTTTTCTTCTCTCTCTCTCTTTCTTTTTTCTTCTCTCTCCTCTTTCTTTTTCTTCTCTCTCTCTCTTTCTTTTTTCTTCTCTCTCTCTCTTCTTTTTTTTCTCTCTCTCTCTTTCTTTTTTGCTCTCTCTCTCTCTGTCTTTTTTCTTCTCTCTCTCCTCTTTCTTTCTTTCCAAGAGTCAAAGGATGACTGTTGAGGCCATTCCTTTCCATAAATGTGCAAAGCCATAAGCCTGAGGATGCTAACGATCACAATCCTTTCTTGTTAGCATCCTCAGGCTACAAAGCCATGTGTTAGGGTGTGAACATGTGTTAGGGATGTTGCACTCCACACTGCCCTTTCCCACCTGGACAAGAGGAACACCTACGTGAGAATGCTGTTCATTGACTACAGCTCTGCGTTCAACACCATAGTGCCCTCAAAGCTCATCACTAAGGACCCTGGGACTAAACACCTCCCTCTGCAACTGGATCCTGGACTTCCTGACGGGCCGCCCCCAGGTGGTAAGGGTAGGTAACAACACATCTGCCACGTTTATCCTCAACACGGGGGCCCCACAAGGGTGCATGCTCAGCCCCCTCCTGTACTCCCTGTTCACCCACGACTGCGTGGCCAAGCACGACTCCAACACCATCATTAGGTTTGCTGACGACACAACAGTGGTAGGCCTGATCACCGATGAGACAGCCTATAGGGAGGAGGTCAGAGACCTGGCCGTGTGGTGCCAGGATAACAACCTCTCCCTCAACGTGATCAAGACAAAGGAGATGAATGTGGACTACAGGAAAAGGAGGGCCGAGCACGCCCCCATTCTCATCAACGGGGCTGTAGTGGAGCAGGTTGAGAGCTTCAAGTTCCTTGGTGTCCACATCACCAACAAACTGTCATGTTCCAAACACACCAAGACAGTCGTGAAGAGGGCACGACAACGCCTATTCCCCCTCAGGAGACTGAAAAGATTTGGCATGGGTTCTCAGATCCTCAAAAAGGTTCTACAGCTGCACCATCGAGAGCATCCTGACTGGTTGCATCACCGCCTGGTATGGCAACTGCTCGGCCTCCGACCGCAAGGCACTACAGAGGGTAGTGCGTACGGCCCAGTACATCACTGGGGCCAAGCTTCCTGCCATCCAGGACCTCTATACCAGGCGGTGTCAGAGGAAGGCCCTAAAAATTGTCAAAGACTCCAGCCACCCTAGTCATAGACTGTTCTCTCTGCTAACACACGGCAAGCGGTACCGGAGCGCCAAGTCTAGGTCCAAAAGGCTTCGTAACAGCTTCTACCCCCAAGCCATAAGACTCCTGAACAGCTAATCAAAAGGCTACCCGGACTATATGCATTGACCCCCCCCTCCCCCGTACCTCAGCATTATGAAGCCTCAGGGCCCAGTTGGTATACGTACCTCAGCGTTATGAAGCCTCTGGGCCCAGTTGGTATACGTACCTCAGCGTTATGAAGCCTCTGGGCCCAGTTGGGGGCGTTGGATGGGAGAGGTTTCAGAGGAGAGGTGAAACAGTCCTGAGAGCTACACACAACACAACAATACAGTAACAGTTACAACTATTGTCAAACTAACCTAATTTCCTTAAACAGTTACTGAGAGTAACACTAAGAAGAAGTGAGCCCACCTCTGTGCCGAGGTCTTAGCTGCAGCCGATGTTACTGTGGTCAAACTGCTGCTGTCATCAGTAACCGCCGTTAACGTGATGGTGTGAAGCTCTTCCTCATCAGCAGTATTCTCCCCACAGGAGCCTAAACAGACCAGACAATCTCAACTTAATACACCAACTATAGAGATCACAGGAGGTTGGTGGCACCTTAATTGGGGAGGACGGGCTCGTGGTAATGACTGGAGCGGAATCAGTGGAACGGTATCAAGTACATCAAACAGATGTTCTCCGGGTGTTTGATGCCGTTCCATTTGCTCCGTTCCGGCCATCATTATGAGCCGTCCTCCCCTCAGCAGCCTCCTGTGGTAGAGATAGTGTTCTATTCAATGATGTGACACCAACACTGTACAAGGAATTTAATCAATTTCTGTTCAAATTCCTTGACACTGTCTAACAAGAAATAGAATAACTAATATATTTCCTGAGGGAACGTCAGAAATGCAGAATTCTGTTTGCCTGATGACTCATCCTGAATTGAATTCCGCTGCTCTGTCGATCGCTCCATACGTCAGTCTGAACTGAAGTCATTTGTAGGCCAGCTCTGGTCAAACACAGTGCGCTATATAGGGAATAGGGTGATGGTCTCTGTAGAAGCAGGTGAGTCCCAGGTTAACAATACCTGTAGGGTCTATGATGTCCAGCAGTTGTCCTCTGGGCAGTAACACTTGAGCCCCTCCTAGCTGAGTAGAGGGGATAACATACATCTCTCCGTTGTCCGACTGACCGCTCACTAGCACCTAGGTTGAGCAAAGATGTTCAGGGTACACAAAGACCGTAAACATAACAGTTCATAGACTGTGTATGAGAACCATGGAACAAAAAAAAAACGAAATGACTAGTCTTGCCTGGTGCTGCCAGATCTGTTTGTGCTGACCAGCCAACTAGGCTATAACATGTTGGCTAGTCAGCACAAACAGATCTGGGATCACCAGGATACCTTTTGGCAGCTGCCTGGACCTGTTTCTGTGCTCTTGTGAAACCCTCTCTACTCACCATGCGTTCACACTGCAGGGGCTGTCCGTTCTGATCGAGTATGATGAACTCATCTGTCTGTGATAATGTCTGTGTCTCGTCCTGTGTCTGCATCGCTGCCTGATTCTCTGTCTGTGATAATGTCTGTGTCTGGTCCTGTGTCTGCATCGCTGCCTGATTCTCTGTCTGTGATAATGTCTGTGTCTGGTCCTGTGTCTGCATCGCTGCCTGATTCTCTCTCTGTGATAATGTCTGTGTCTCGTCCTGTGTCTGCATCGCTGCCTGATTCTCTGTCTGTGATAATGTCTGTGTCTCGTCCTGTGTCTGCATCGCTGCCTGATTCTCTGTCTGTGATAATGTCTGTGTCTCGTCCTGTGTCTGCATCGCTGCCTGATTCTCTGTCTGTGATAATGTCTGTGTCTGGTCCTGTGTCTGCATCGCTGCCTGATTCTCTGTCTGTGACAGTATGAGCGTTTCTGTCTTTGTCAGTTCCTCAGGTCTGGTATCAGTGTGGACTGTTTCCCAGCTGTCTGGAGGTGCTAGGCTGTTGATAACAAGCAGCTCTGAGGACTGTCGCTTTGTCTCATTGTCTTCAGGTGCAGGTTCACTGGGCTCCTGGAACACAATACAATACTTTACATGCATGTGACTATGCTAATATCCATTGATTTGGTCTCCTGATATCTGCATTGTATTACTTTTTCTTATCACAAATCATTTTGCAACTTATAGGTTTGAGTCGTACCAACTCATAGGTTTAAGTCCCACCAACTCCTAGGGTCAAGTCCCACCAACTCCTAGGGTCAAGTCCCACCAACTCCTAGGGTCAAGTCCCACCAACTCCTAGGGTCAAGTCCCACCAACTCCCAGGGTCAAGTCCCACCAACTCCCAGGGTCAAGTCCCACCAACTCCTAGGGTCAAGTCCCACCAACTCCTAGGGTCAAGTCCCACCAACTCCTAGGGTCAAGTCCCACCTGTTGTGTTTCAGTGATATGAGACCCATGGAGGTCTGTGTGTTTGGGCTCATCCTCTTCAGTGGTCAGTGGAGGCTTTGAGTCCAAAGCATCATCTTCCATAGCTCTCTCCTGCTCCTCCATCTCCCGAGCAGACAGTCAGCTAACTAGCTACATAAACAAACCAATGTAACATTATTAGAGTGACCTGGTACAGGTATTTAATGGGTGCAAGTGTCATCATCATCATCAATCAGTATTGTAATTGCAAATCCATTCATTGCCATTTTCAGAATGGTCACTGGATCTAGATCGCTAGCTAGTTAAAAATAACAAAGACAGATGGTGCAGGAAGACGGTTTATTCAATGCTCGACTCTGGGGGTATTTCTATAAGAGTAGTTTGTGATTGTTTTTGCTTGATTGCAGGAGCAGAGCTTCCTAACCACCCAAACAAAGCATCATCCCTGGTCTTGGTCAAAAAGCATTCTTTAAAGCGCCATGTTGGATTAAAATGTCTGTGTAGCAAAGCTAACCAACGTTAGCTTGTTGGCTAGCCTAGCTAGTAAAGACGGACAATATCCAGTTGAGTCAAACAATTCTCCTGATTTAGGATAGTCTCCCTCTTTACATAGCCCTGTCTAGTCTGACTGTGTAGCTACAGCGTTGAGGGTATGGGGGACAAGGATTGGAAATTCAAAACGAGTCTACTCAACCTCGTCTTCACCCAGACTTCTGCTCGCCTCGTTCTCGACCAACAAACGCGATTGTTCTATTAATCCGGTATGAAGAATGTTTGACCCTCGGAGGACGCCGTCGAAAGGCATATCTAACGCGCTTCCTTCTGGTACTACATCCTTTCACCACAGAGAGGCGCAATTTCCACAGGAAGTGGCCCCAGGTTGCTGATTTCCACCTAAGAACATACAGAGAAGGAACTGGTGGTGATGGCTAGAAGGGATACCGATTTTGTAAAAGTTACGCCATAGTCCGGTTCAGTACAACGACTTTCCGTTTTACACAGCGTCGAGTTCTACAGCAGACTGGACATGATTTACACAGAATAATTTGCTAGCTAGCGGAACTTTTGGGGAAAAGCTCGCTACAATTAGCCAATAAATGTACTTTCTACGGAGCACTACATTACATGATGTAAATACAAACATGAATTGTGTTATCAGTTAGTAATTTTGCCCTAGTGGAATTTAGAGGATAGCGCCAATGGTCCGTGTCTGAGTATTGCTGTTTTTCTGTTCTACTTGATCATTACTGCACCCACCTGGTGTCCCCAGCTCTACCAGTCCGTGGTTCCTCTTTCTTTTCATATACTAACTGGTCACCAGACTACAGAAACTATAGCAATGTAATAGCAATAACTATAACGTTAGCAATGGGAATATGGCATGAGAGATGTCAAAAAGAACAAAGTAATTGGCTATTTTTATTATTATTTTTATTTAAAAACACAACAACAAAAAAAATAAGTGGAACTTTTAAGAGTAGAACCCTTGCTCTCCTAATATAAAGTCAAACCCTCTCCACCCCTCTCCCTTGCTCTCCTAATATAAAGTCGAACCCTCTAAACCCTCTCCCTTGCTCTCCTAATATAACGTCGAACCCTCTCCACCCCTCTCCGACAAATACCTTTCCTACCCTCCCATCCCACCCCACCACACACCTGCCCATATGGGGAGTTGTTCATAATGGTGATAGCCCCTGGGATGGTGGAATGGGTGGTCTGGGCTGGAGATCGTGTGGCGGGCTTTGCGCTGTAGCGCGCTCGTTCGGTAGGTTAGGGGTATCCAATCAGGTTAGATGCCATGATAAAATGAAATATAGGCCTATCGCCTAGCCTATTCTAGTAATATCTAACAATTTCACAACATATACCCAATACACACAAATCTAAGTAAGGAATGGATTTAAGAATATATACATTTATGGCCCAGCAATGATAGAGCGACATGGACTAAGATACAGTAGAGCAAGCAATGCAGATGTAGAAGCACGGTGGCTAGGAAAAACTCCCTGGAAAGGCAGGAACCTAGGAAGAAACCTAGAGAGGAACCAGGCTCTGAGGGGTGGCCAGTCCCCTTCTGGCTGTGTCGGGTGGAGATTATAACAGTACATGGCCATTAAGGCCAGATTTTTCTCCAAGATGTTCAAACGTTTATAGATGACCAGCAGAGTCAAATAATAATCACAGTGGTTGTAGAGGTTGCAACAGGTCAGTACATCAGGAGTAAATGTCACTTGGCTTTTCATAGCCGGGCATTTAGAGGTTGAAATAGCAGGAGCAGTAGAGAGAGAGAGTTGAAAACAGCAGGTCCGGGACAAGGCAGCACGTCCCGTGAACAGGTCAGGGTTCCATAGCCGCAGGCAGAAGAGTGGAAACTGGAGCAGCAGCACGACCAGGTGGACTGGGGACAGCCAGGAGTCATCAGGCCAGGTAATCCTGAGGCATGGTCCTAGGGCTCAGGTCCTCTGGGATGGGAGGGAGAGAGGGAGAGATGGCTATTTAACAGTCTGATGGCCTTGAGATAGAATATGTTTTTCAGTCTCTCGGTCCCAGCTTTGATGCACTTGTGCTGACCTCGCCTTCTGGATGATAGTGGGGTGAACAGGCAGTGGCTTGGGTGGTTGATGTCCTTGATTATCTTTTTGGCTTTCCTGTGACATCGGGTGCTGTAGGTGTCCTGGAGGGCGGGTAGTTTGCCCCCGGTGATGCGTTTGGCAGACTGCACCACCCTCTGGAGAGCCCTGCAGTTGCGGGCGGTACAGTTGCCGTACCAGGCGGTGATACAGCCCGATAGGATGCTCTCAATTGTGTATCTGTAAAAGTTTGTGAAGGTCTTAGGGGCCAAGCCAAATTTCTTCAGCCTCCTGAGGTTGAAGAGGCTCTGTTGCGCCTTCTTCACCACACTGTCTGCGTGGGTGGACCATTTCAGTTTGTCAGTGATGTGTACGCCTCATATTGGATGGTCTGCTCTGCCTATAACAGTCACACCAAGATGGGGGTTGCTATAAGATTGAAAGATTGGAAAATAATGTGAAAAAACTATGAAATAGCTCCCCAATACAGTCTGATGTATATATTTAATGTGTTACATGAATGGTGACCACAGCCGTTCAAAAAAATACATTTAAATCGTGTTTTAATGCAATTTTTTCCCACCCTGCTCCAGTGGATGCCAAGGAAAGCCAGGCTTCCCCAAATATTTGACCAATAAAAAAATATGTGTTTTCCGAATTTTCCATCAATTCGCAATTGGCTGAATCTCACCAGAGAAATCATTGGAGCGAGGGAAACAGCGCCCCTCTGTCTCAGTATGTGTAGCCCATGTATCTGATGCTGTCTGGAACAAAATAGTATGGCATGTTCCCGCAGTAGCATTTGATTGATTGATGCCAACAAGCGTTTGGCCTCCCTTTGAAATAATTAGCCAATCAGCTTGAGCTGAGCTCAACTGTGGGTTGTCCTGGCGCAGCAAAACGCCTCCCAAGGGAGGCCAGTTTGGATTTGGCTCAACACAAATCAAATCACATCCTAAGCAAAAGGTCATCATTGTCAGACAAATGTGTCTGTTTCTGGTCTGCATGTGCTGATGTCCTGCAGTAGCTAGCTTGCTAAATCGGCCCTTTCCTAAGCCATCATGCAGTAGCTAGCTTGCTAAATCGGCCCTTTCCTAAGCCATGGATGAAGATGTGGATTTGGATTTGTGGATTTGACTTAATTCGCTGTACAGGCCGATGAATATGACGGCGATTCTGATCGAACCATAAATTAATATATTGTGTCACTGACGTGAGACGATTTTAGTTCAATATGTAGCCTAGATGTAGCCTAGTAGGTTCACGTTAACTAGCTAGCTAACCTCCCATGCAAGGTTAGCAAGCATTTTAGCTAGGTAGCTAACCTCCCATGCAAGGTTAGCAAGCATTTTAGCTAGCTAGCTAACCTCCCATGCAAGGTTAGCAAGCATTTTAGCTAGGTAGCCAATGAAAACAAAAATAAAAAGCATGCTGTATGACAGAGCCATACATTAGCGGTGCGTGGGTGAAATCACCGGGGAAGCCAATCCAGAAAAAAAGCCATATTACAACCTATGTGTTGTGATAATTGCATTGTTTGCTCTATAACCTGTTAGTTCATATGCCTTGACACCGTGATATATAGGCCTAAAGGCCCGGGACAATAAGAAGACACAGTGGCAGAATAAATTCAACCACACCTTTGTTTTATCACAAAACCAGATAGCAACATCTGTCTGGTGAAGTCCACAAAACATATTGCATTTAACAAACAGTTACATGACCAACAGCACGGTCAAGCACGGTAATGTTACCGACATTTTCGGACCACTAAACAACTATTGATTTAGAACCACAGAGAGTTATTTTTATTTTTTGGTTTATGTTTTTTTTTTTTTAACTTTTATTTAATTATTATTATTATATATATTTTTAGCTTAGATCAGCTTTAATATTGCAGATAGATTGTAACTTCCATCAATGTAATTGTCTGCATCACTTCCAATCCCCCATGTTTATATATATATATATATATATATATATATATGTTTATATATATATATGTTTATATATATATATATATATATATGTTTATATATGTTTATATATATATATATACACACTTATATATATATATACATACACACATATACATATATACATATATATACATATACATACATATCCTTAAAAAAATATATATATATTCCCCTTTATTACTTTCCAACCCCACCACCCTTTCCCCACTTGGAGTAAATTAGTGAACAACAACACTTAGGCCTCTACTTCCAGCTTATACCTACTATCTACATTTTATGGACACAGTCAATTTTACAATAATTATATTTTGTTTGTTTTTTTCTCCTGAACTTCTTCTACTCTCAACCTCTCCGATCATTTTCATGATGTCCCTCCGGTTTGCTTCTACATGCCATATCTTTCTAACTGTGCTCTTTCACAAAAGCTCTTAACCTATAACCTATATCCTTATTATGGACACAGTATGTTTTACATTAGTTATCTTGTTGTTATTAGTTGTTGTTAGTTGTTATTAGTCCCATCCTTCAATTCCATTCAACACCTCCCATCTATCTTTTAACACCATCCATATAGGATTTATATTTGCCATATATATTTCAACTGTACTGTGATGTCTTACAAAAGTTCTGAACCTTTCTATTCTCATTGTTTCTACAGATTGTGAATTGAAAATAAACATTTTTGCTTAAACTATTATTATGTTATTGATTGATTGACTATGACTTTTCAGATCACCCAGTAGTGCTATCTGCAGGATTAACTCCAGGTAAATATTGCAATCCTTTAGCCATTCCTGCATGGACCTGTGTCCAAAAACAAGCTACAAATGGACAACTATTGCTTTAGAACCACGGACAGTTACAGCAAGTCGCAAAGAAAACAGGAGCTGCCTCCACTATTCCAGCACCATTTCAACTTCAACATTTCAACATCATCTAATCACCTCTGCTTAGTCTAATACAGTGACAACTAAAATATACCAAAAACGATTTAGTCCAATCAACGTAAGCTAAATATTGTGACGACCCTCCCACTCTGTCTGCCGAATTCTCTCTTTGTTCTCGTTTGCCATATTTTCAATTTAGAATGTGTAATTTAGAATGTGTAATTTAGAATGTGTAATTTAGAATGTGTAATTTAGAATGAGTGTGCCCCCAGGCCTGGAGGGAAGCAAAAGTCATTCCG